GTCAGAATAGAATTTGCACTCAACATGACACCAAGGGAGTCGGTGCAGTTTTAACTTGAAGTGACCTTCCGGTCGCCGAGTATGGCCATGCAGCGTTGAAAGCGTGGGAACGAGAAGTATGACATAAATAGATATATAAGCACCCACCCAAGCGGCAAGCAGAGAGACATCACAGCCAAGGTTCACATTTCTGGGGCACGTTCACCCCCCCCCTCTCTCACACACACACACTGATCGATGGGAATTGACGAAGTACTAGAATTAAATAAAATGTGAAATATGAAAGATTCATGTCTCTGATTATTATTCGTTTGCATCTTTGTTTCATTTTATGGAAGAAACGACGATACTGTCTTTAGCATAATAATTCTGCCTTGTGAAATCTTAGAGGCGATAATTACAAACCAGATAAAATACTATTATAAAGTTTTGGTGTCGAAATGATATTGAAGAAGATTCAATTCGAAAACTGTCCGACCACAAAGAACAATAAAGCTAATTATCAGTATTAAATCTCTGATATTCTCTCAAAATGGCGAGAGAATTGAAGAAAGAAAGTCGTTTGAATGGTCTCACGTATTACTGCTTTATTAGAAGCACTATTAGAACAATTTAAAATTAGTTTACTACAAATAATGCACTCATTAACACTAACAAAATAATCACTATTACAAAATCCTGAGAGGACTGGTACAAAGACAGAGTAGTGGGTTTATAGGATTAGTCTCCCCAAAGACCGTGTCAGAATAAATCTTGTAACATATATGACACCAGAAGTTCAAGCGAGCCAATTGATTTGATCTGAATCCAGAATCATGTGACCAAAACGAGCAGCCCTTGGAGTTGCAAACATGGGGAATAATCATTATTACAGGACATATATAAACACCCACAACAAAGGGGAATATGGCAGTATCTCAGACATGGCAAGTGAGAATGTAAGGTTATATTTCGGATGTAGTCCCAAAAGGCCACACACAAATACACTGGCCAAGAATAACTGAAGGACCTTTCGGAGTGAAATAAAATGTAATTTTAAATAAGGACTTGTGTTATCATTTGGTCTGCACTGATATCTCATTAGATACTAAATTAAGCGCCTCTCAGTAAACAATATCATTCTACAATGCAATACAAATGTGTTGGAATGTTTTCGCTATAACCCCTGTAACAGCAGCTTGTATATTATCTTTACCCGCTCGATAATGCAGTCGACCTCGACGAAAAACCTCTATTATTCTACTTGCCGCGCTAAATATTTTTTTGTGCATTCTAACCATTGTCCTCTTCGAGCGACAAATTCTCTTCCGCTTTGACATCAGCAATATTCCATTCGTCTAAATTGATCAATATTTGGCCATTATTATCGATTCTGAGACGGCTAATGAGACGTATCGGGTAACGTCTGCAAATTCATGTCACGTGACTGGGTCGATCCAGTGGCTCGGCTGAAAAATATGGCCTCCAGTTCGGTCATTGCGAAAAGAAAAATGAAAATGAAATACGTCAGAAAAGAAACAGAAAGATACAGAAATACAGAGAGTGAGGGAGAGAAATAAACAGAGAGAGTACAATAAAGGAATGTCTAGCAAGGGATAGTACGAAAGAGAAAGAAAAAAATGGAAAGAGCCTGAATTTTTCAAAGACAACATCCTGTTTTGTTTACATTGACGTTTGCTATGCGACGATAATGGTCGCGGAATAGCAGACGCAGATCATAAACTCGTATGCGGTTCTATGACGTCGTACATAACGCTACGGTGAACATCTCTGTTGTAATGTCCAGATAACCACTCTGATGATGGCTGATGTGAGCCGAAAGCTTAGATCGACGGCCAATATAATAAAGAAATATACAAACGTTGCACAGTTTTTGTCTTTATTTTCTCTTTAAACTAAAGTCATTATACGACGCTTGGAAAGGCTCATGATAAAACATACTAGACATTCGTTGTCTGTTATGTTTAACAATATATGATCTGCTGCCGTATACACTGCTATATATTCTTGATAAGCTCCAGAGGCGGATATGCAATATAATTGGCCCAGTTCTGGCATCTCGTCACTTTCTACAGTCACTTTCTCACAGACGCGCCGTCGCCTCTCTCTGTCTTTTTTACAAATACTTTCATGGTAATTGCTCTGAGGAGCTGCATTCGCTGGTTCTCAGACTTCATGAATTCAACCGCCCTACGAGGCTGGCATCCTGCTCTCACCCTTTCACTGTTGAAACTAATAAATGTAGCCGTCTCTTCTACTCCAATAGTTTCATGTCTCGCACCTCTCGCCTGTGGAACTCCCTTCCCTATTCCAGTTTCCCTGAGAGATATAATCTCCAACTATTCAAATGTAATGTCAATCGACATCTCCAGTTGCCTTGATCTATCCACTATCCTTCTCCTCATCCTTTCCTCTATTACTCCTATCTGATCTTGCTCCAAATCTTCTGTAACCCCTTGCTTGGGGTGAAAAGCTTAAAAAAAAAAGTTCCCAGACATATTATCGACAGATGTCTAACATCATAATTACACAATGGATTTCCTACAGAAGTGAGTTCACTCCTTATTGGAACCTCAACTATTTCAAGCCTGAAATTTATCTACGTAAGTCGTCTTCCATAGTGCATAATAATGGAAATATTCTCGCCTCACAGTTCAGTTGCTGGATCTTGAACCTTATTTGATAGTCTGTTATTTTGGCCCTGTGGCATTTGACTAAATACAGGTTTACTTTATGTAATTTTGAGTAAGTCGACATGGCGTAAAGTGAAGAAGCATTTATCATTACTTAATATGAGAAATATTATTTAGTGTTCGCATTGTGCTAAGACTGACAGTCCACGAACTGGAACCGACTCCCCGATCACTATATCTTAACCTGTTCAAGTCTAGGGTGAACTGTTATCATCCCACATAGCTCCATAAACTCTACCTCTTACTTTGTAAAACTCTACCATGTGGCTCTTGGGTCTTATAAAGGATGAACATCATTGTAAAAACAAAAGAAGAAAATGTGTTGTAATGATTCTAGAAAAGCTTTTAAAAATGCAAAAAGGTTTAAGACAAACTTGTTTCCAGCGCCTACAATGAATATACATGATAGAAAACACATAAGGCGAATACAGTCAGATTTTAAGTTCAAACCATGGCAGTTTACAAAAAATAATTTACAGGTCTGGAAACGCTTAATTTTTTTTTCTACATAAATTAATAGTATTCCCACCTTCACTTCATGCTAATTTGGATTGCGGGGAAAACTAAACAAATATCGACCTTTCCTAAAGCATATTGACGTAAAGCAAGATTTCTAAAAATCGGGTCACCTCTATCTAATTAGAACGCCTCTTGTTGAATGATGATTAAAATTCTAGTCACACAGATTTTTTTTTCTGGCGTCGTGAGTTCGATTTCACAAGATGATCCATCATTTTCAACCTGTACCAGATTCTATAATAATATATATATATAGATGTGAATCTATGTGAATAACGTATGATCGATATAAGAATCAAACCTCATTTTCCAAATATTATTTCTGTCGGCTTCATACGAAACAAAAGTAATATCTTTTCATGACCCTTGTCGAAATCTATCAACAATTTCTCGTTCCTGTTTCCACAAAGGATTTTTGAGGTTAATATAAGTTTATTCCGAATTTAATATTTCTGAAGTCATATTCGTTCTGTTATATTTCTTGGGAAATACTATCAGTATTTGGCGAAGCGAAAATAATTTCTGAAATATTGCTTTTGAAGAATTTCTTGAGAAAGTTTTGCATTCAAAATTTGTTCTACAAAGATACGGCAAATGTCGAAACTTCTGCTTTCAAACAAAAACCTTTTTTTCAACCATTGAAACAATTTCCAGGCTTTTCTACCATTTCTTTTTTCTCGGTTATCCGACCAGGTTACACTGATAAATATAATATCAGCAGCAGCCCTGAGGGTGTAAAAACAGGTGAACCCTTAAGTAACTCTCTCTTCTTCTTTTCCCTCTTTTCGAAGTATTTACCATCAACTTTTCACACCAAAGCAAAAGGGCTGTGGACTCTTCACACTAAAACACACCTAAACAGGCAAGTCACATTCAAATAGATTCATTAACAATTTTCGATGTGTATTCAATTTAATTCTAAAAAAACAAAACAAAAAAAAAACTCTTAAACTTTCCTTTCGTTATTTTTGTTAAATAAATGTTATCTTGTATTGCAAATCAATCGGTCTTTGTTATTTTGTACATGCACCTTTTCACTACCATTATTTTATGTAAAATATTCTCGTAGAAACCTTATACACTAATTATAAAAGTGGCCAACGCACTAAAGCAGTATCGTTAGTAATCCAACTCTATCCATGCTGTTGCAATCACCTTTACTACTTCGCTATTATTGTCATCTATTCATCTACGCCTTCACACGCTCCAAACGATACTTTGTTCTTTTTCGAGTTTTCTACTTTTATCAACAATTTATTTTATTTCCTTCTTTTATGTAACGTATCCATTCAGGACGTAAGCAATCGTTGATTTCTACAACTTCTTTTAGTTTTTAGCTCTTAACAATGTTTGTCTTTTTATTATTCTTCCCATTCACTGTTCTGTCAACCATTCACAAGCTCGTTATGTAGGTTAAAATTATTTTAATTATGCTATTTTTGGGGTGGGATGGGAAAAATTGGTCAGAAAAGACGTAATATGTATCTCATAGTAATAAAATAATTTATAGTAATAAAATAAGTGATAAAAAGTAAAAGTTTAATAATTGTTCTTTAATGAAGTAAATGTTAATGATAATATCACATAAAATTTATATAAAATAAATGTTAAATTCTGATGATAACAGTCACACTTTTAAATAAATATTACCCTCCCCAGTCTTTTGAACAAGAGAAAAAGCCAGAAAATATTTCTAAATTATAAGAATTTTGGCGATAACAATTTACTGATAAACATTCTACTAATTCCACGATTTCCTTTATTTATTACACCACCCGCACATCCAAGCTTACAGTACCTAGTATTCCTAAACGGTCACCATTCTCAGTACTGACCAGGCTGGATGTTGCTTAACTTTAGTGCTCGCACAAGAATCGGTGTTTCAATGTGATATGGTCGTAAGCCTCTGTTGTAAAAAGAAACTGAATTAATTAATAGTTATTAATCAGACCACTTGGCGAAAGGGATGTGGTCAATGTGCTGGTCATATGAGCACAGAGACTTTAAAAGTGGACTTAACATATGGATAACTTACTAATGGTTGCTCTTTCATTTTTTTTTCTTCGTTTCATATGAGACTGTAGTGAATGTCTTCACAAAGTTGCCGCCCAAAAACGGGAACCTAATGACCTGGAAATCGTTAAAGGACGTCTTAAGTATTTACAGCTGTCATTGGACGAAAAAGAAGAGGAGACTGCGTATTACGAGAAATGGATTTAGGTAACGTGGTAATTGGTATTTGCCCGGAAAATATTCAGCCATTTGGAATATCTGGAGAACAGGTTGAGTAGTCTTGATGTAAACTAGATAACCATTCAAAACTTTAATGCATAGAGGCACAAACAAAAAACTCTTCTGTAAAGTTCCCCAGTCATCAGTGAGGCTCCATTCAAGCTAGCTTGTATGACCGTCTTCGCATTTTATGAAAATATCATCTCGCCCACACCAGCCTCGCCTAAAATCCAGATTAGATTCCTCATGATTTTATCTTTATTAAAATTTATCCAATGTAAGTCACAAGAGCCACTCAAGGTAGAGGGTTACAGAATGAGATATGGTATTTAAGAGGAGTATGTAGGAAGTGAAGATTACGAGGATAAGTTACAGAGGTAACAATTGACCCTAAACTTGAAGAGGTTAAGATTGCAGTGTACTGGGAAACATCCACGGGAGAGTTTGAACCGCAAAGCAACGATTTTTTAACACTTTTACCTTTCTTAAGACTAAAATTGCCATTAAAATGGAAATCTCAAACCATGGACGAAATTAAAGTGACACGACAGCTGATCCCGAAAGAGGAACTTGAATACTTTTTCAAAATGGAAGTGTACTCAGATATGTGTATGAGATTTAAAGCAGGCCCCTTGTCGCTTGTAAGATAAAATAAATGAATACTTTCTTGACACATCTTATTGTTAAAATTTGTTATACTGTATATGTCGACATACAAGGCGACCTTTTAACCTTAAAAATCTCGCAAAAGTAGTGGATCGTCTTATACGCCAGGTATAAAATATGAACCTTAAATCCTAAATCTTTATGGTAAGTTGCTAGCATGGGAGATTTTTAACGGTAAGCTAAACCCCACCTCGCCTCCTTTTGTCGATGATGGCGAACAAAATCACAACTTAATGTGTATCTCAACAGGCCTTTTAAAGATCGCATTCGAGAACAGTGGAATGAATTGATGGTAAGCGGGGAAAAGTAATTCGAGTTATCGTAATAGCCTACCGAAAGCACAGCACCTACTCATGAGGTATTGTAGATTGTGATATTTAATTGACAGTATCTTCCGACTGTTTTTTCATTAGAATTTGAGTGAAAAGAAAGTATATGGTTACTGAATTTATTTGATAAATTCAATACAATACATTTTAAAATACGATTTGAGGTGCGTCGTCATGTACGGCGAATATATCCCGAAACATACATTTTAAGTTGAAAATTTGGTGGTCGTCTTATACACCCAGTCGCCTTGTACGCCAGCATATGCAGTATGTAGATTGCTCCCCCATCGGAGTTAGACCCTTTAAAGATAGTGAGTAACTGGCAGTCACTATACAGCGTTGATTCCTAAGTTTACGTATATATTCCGCGTATGAAGCAACTTTTAAATTAAAAAAATCCCCCCCATCTAAAAAATAAGGATTCGTCTAATATAACAATTACAAAAAAACTAACCTTAAATGCTGTTGTGTATCGGCACTGGTAAGTAGGCTAATATGCTTGCGCCATAGATCGCGGTAAGCTAACAACTACCTAAGCATGATAACTACCGATGTAAATATTTCAAATTGAAACAATTCACAATAATTGCCAAATCCAAGAAACGATTATACAACAATATGCAAATGTTCCGCTGAACAACACGAACAAGTAACGTAAACGAATCTTTCATTCCTGATTTATAGAGCGCTATGGTTGCATTTCAAACCAATCGTTATTTCTCATAATAGTGTTAAATAAAAAACATTTAGAATAACATACAATCTATATTTCTAATTAAAATTCATTACCCTTGCGGTGTTAAATAAAAAAAATATTAGTATAACACATAAAATTCAATAACATACATTATACGGTATGTTTTTTTCCGGTGTTAAGCAACAAAACATTTATGATAAAATCTTTTTTTCTCATTAGACAATAAAAACATAAATACTCACATACGTAATTATAACCCTTCAAAATTACTATGATAATCACCACCTGATGCAAAGAGCTCATCATAAATGTCGTCATTTACAGTTTCGTCATAGAGTTCCGATGCGGTAGTCTTATACCACAGATATCAGATAAAATCACGAAAATTTACATCGATTTGGGGGTCTAGCCTTAGAAATATACGGTATATATATATATATATATATATATATTATATGTCGGGTGTAACACCAAAATTATCAAAATCATGTAAAAGCAAATTTGTTAGATTAAGCTTTGAACTGTTGTATCTTAAAAATGATTAAAGATATCTTACTGGAATTCTCTGAGGTGTTATAATACTATTGAACTCTACTTTAAGCAATATGAATGCAAAATTACTCTCTAAACATAACAGAAAAATCGTGATCAAATCGATCATAAACGAAAATGACATGTTCATCATTAATTAATAATAGCTAAGAATCGGAATCTCATAAAAGATTGAAATAATATATATATATATATATATATATAATTAAATAATCTAAATAGGTCAAGGTTCGGTCACTCCTCCTATCCCAATATAAAGCATGCTTAAGAGAGATATGAAATTAACCCCTCCCTATACTCTACTTTGTCTCTTTAACTACAACCTTTACCCCCCAGTTAAATTACAAAAATTACACTACCCATCAATTTCTAATCCCATTTTTCCTTTCATTTCGTTGTTGGAAGTGTTACCTGATGATCCGGAGTCCTTTAAAAAGGATTTTGGTGAAATAAATTATTGGTCTGTTTTTCATTAAATATTTCCTCTATATTCACATTGATCTCTCAGGATTTCATCCTCCTTGGAATTACCCATTCGGTTTACCAAGTTCTTCGTAACTTAACTATATATATATATATATATATATATATATATATAATTCAAGGAACTTTTTCCAACTTATTGAAGATGATCTTCGCCCTCTCTAACTCTTTGTCCTGGAGTAACAAGATGCCTCACAAGTTTCACGTGTAATTTCATTTCCAAGTCTTTTTTTTCTTGATCTTTGGACTACCATACATGAAACTTTTCTATCACGTGCTAAACGTCTTATGAATTGAGTTGGATCTTTTCTCATTGATCTCTTTAGCTCGAAGCTGGAATGACGATCCCTCTTTTTTGTTGTGACCTCCTGATCCGGTTTTCCTCTCTACTGTTCCCGCTTTTTTAAACTTATTCACCGTTCTCCACCGACAAGAAGAAAGCTGTTCGCCATGTCTAACGCATTAAATTTAAAATAAAATTATCTAAAATCTTATAATTATTGAATTTTTGGGGGTTTGCAAAATTAACATTTTTCTCTCTGTTTTCAAATTTATGATTTTATTTTATCCAGAGTAGGATTTGTCTAAACTGAGTGGGAGAATAATGTCTTATTACAATGTCTTATTTGAAACTCGGTCAAATTGTATGTAGATGTGTGCATGTTTGTTCTTGAGTATACGTTATGGCCCAAGCACACTCACGCACGACGCAGACATACACATATATAGGCGCATATATATATATATATATATATATATATATATATATATATATATATATATATATATATGTTTATTAATTAAATTAATTCATTTTACGATTTCACCAAAGCTCCCAAAAATGTCACGAATCTTTCCATATTCTTCAAATAATAAAAAATGAACAATTGCTATAAGTTAGGCACCTCCATTGAATTTTCGACTCCTAACGTTTGAAATGATTTTTAAAAAAACGAAAAAGCATTCTTCAAGCTTTGTTTTTAGCTTTAACTAAAAGCTAAATGATAAAAAAATTACTATTTACCGTAAGCAAAATAGTCTGGTGTATTTCAAAATAGACCGTTCCTGTAGAATGGGTTGACTTAGTCGCAATCGGGCAGAGTCTCTGGATTGGATCTCTTCTTCCTCCCCCCCCCGTCTTCCCGGTACCAACCATATTTATATGGTCGGTACTCAAACTATGTAAATTAGGTGGATCGTATCACAACAATTAGAATGTCGACTTTTTGCTCACCTTTAGAAATCGTTTAAATTCAGTCATTTCTGACACATTTGTAAACAAAAGTTAATTCTCGGTTTTAAAAATCATCCAAAAATAAAATATACTTTTCTGAAATTTTATTTGATGAATATTTGCAGAAGCACGTTACGTACAAATATTTTTTTAACATTTTTTTAAAAATATTGTGAGTAAACGACATTTTGGGTTTTTCAATTTTTGATTCATAAATAGTTTTCACTTAATAACAATATCATCTAACCGGATTGAAGTCATGCAGAATTTCAAGCGATTTATAATATAATACATATATAATAATATAATTTATAATATTATAAGTTATTATAATTAATTTTTTTAAAAATGAAACCAATTCTTGTAAAAATTCATTTTCATCGAAAGTTTTTTTTTGTTTGTTTTTTTTTTTTTGCTTTTTTGCTTAGAGTCCTTGATAACTCTTATTTACAAATGCAATTAAAAGCTTCTCTAATTAAATAATGTTATAGTTTTGTTTTATTTTTTACTTTACGATTTGGGGCAGATTTTATGGGAATGATTAGTAGTTTAAAGAAAAAAAAAATGATAATTTACATTCTCCAAAGAGTCCTTATAACACAAATTTTTGGATTGATATTTAATTTCTCGAAATTTCATGTAAGTAAATGTTGGTAACATATGCAAAAATATAAATTTTTAGCAAGATTTTCTAAAAAAAACAAATTTT